TTAAAAAAATAAATGAAAATAAATTATATAATTTTTATATATACTAAATATATATAATTATAATAATAGTAGTATTAGTAGTAAAATTATATAGTACTAAATATTTTGTTTATATTAAATAATTAATAATTATTAAAATAGTATTATAATTTTAGCTTTTAAATAAATATATAATAAAATTTATAAATATATTTTATTATATTTATTTAAATACTAGCAGGGGCTTTAGAATTTTTTATTTTATTTTTTTAAATAAAGTTATTTTTTAGCAGATATAATAGTTTTTTATTTATTATTTTAAATATTAATAAATATTAAACTAGTAGTATTTTTAGACTAGTAGCTTATATATATAGGCTTTTTAAAAATATTTAAAAATAGATTTATTATAAACTAGTCTAGTTAAATTAGCCTTAATTTATTTACTATTAAATATTTATAATTAGTTTTTATAAAATAAAAAGCTTTTTTTTAATATAATACTAGTAATATATCTAAATAATAGTTTTTATTAGTAGCTAAAACTTTTAGTATTTTTTTAATCTATTTATTTTTTTTATATATAGTATAAAAAAGTTTTTATATTTTAAGCAGAAGTTATAAGTTTTATTTATTTTTAAATATTATATTTTTTTAAATATATATAATAAATACTAGCTTTATTTCTGGTATATTTTTTATATATTTTTTAAAATTATTTTTTTTATTATTTTTACTTTTTAGTAGGGTTAGGGGTGGTGTTAGTAAATAAATAAAATTAATATTTTTTTATTTTAAAATTATTTAACTTTAGTATAATAAATACTTATTTTTTTAAAAAAAATTATTTAATTTTTTAATTAGGCTGTTAAGCTTAATTTTATATTTTTTTAAATTTATAAATAATTTTAAAATTAAAATATAATCAAAATTTAGACTATTAGGCCTATTAGCAGTTTAGCATCTTAATAAATATAAAATATTTTAAATTATAGTAATTAATAATAATTTAAATTAAAAATAAAGTTTTTTTAGCTTAGATTACTATTTTTAAAATAGTAAATAATAGTAAATAAATTTTTATTATAAATTTTATAGTTATATTTAGTAGGGGTATATTTTTTAAACAAGTATATAATAAAATATAGTACTTTATTATTACTATACTAAAATAAAACTTTTTTTAATATATAATTAAAAATATTAGTTTTTAAAATAATATTACAGGTCTAGTTAAACAGTTATAAAACTAGTACTTTAATAAAAGTATTTTTAAATATATTAAATACTTTTTAATAATTTAAAGTTTATATAAACAGAATATTTTTTTATTAAATATATAAGCAGAGCAGTTAGTTTTAAAAAATTATAAATAAATTAGTAGTAAAAGTTGCTAAAGTTTAAAAAAGCTTATATATTAATTATATAAATTAAAATAAGCTATTTAATTATAGTTTTAATTTTTTTAAATTTATATAAAATCTATTACAGCCTATAATTAGGCCTAAAAACTTAGTTTTAAATATAATAAATTTATATTTAAATAATTTAGTATAAAGTTTTATTTTTTTTAGTTTTTATAAAATATAATAGATATATTTAAAGTACTTTTTATAAATACGGCTGTAAATTAGAATTTTATTTAAATAAACTATATAAAATATATTAAAATAGTTTTTTAAAGTATTTATTATATATTTTTAAAAAATAGTAGAGATTTTTATAAGTTTAAATAGTATTATAAGTATTTTATACAGCCCCAGACAGATATAAAATACAGTTAAATACTTTTAGTTTTTTTAAATTCTAATATTATTAAAGTACTAATAATATTAATTTTTTATAAAGTATTTTATTTTTTTTAAATTATTTAGAATTTTTTTTATAAGTAGAAGCGGGTATCTGTTTTTTATAAAAATAATATTTAAAATATAGTAGTTAATATAAAATCTTAGGCTTTTTTTAAATTTTTTTATAAATAGTATTAGAAAGGCAACTAGTAATAAACTTAAATAAATAAATTTTTTTTTAAATTTTTTAAAAGCTATTTATTTTTTTAAGACTTATAATTTATTTTAAAATATTTTATATAAAAAACTAAACAGCAGGAACTTTCTGTTTTTTAAAATAATAATATAGTTATACTTTTAGTATAGGGGTAACTTTTTAGCTTTTTAAAAAAAAGTATTTTTAAAAATTTAAAAATTTTTAAATAAGGTTTATTTTTTTAGCTTAACTAAAGCCTATAATATTTTATTAATTTAATTTATTATTAGTATAAATACTAGATAATTATAGTATATATAAATAGTATATACAGCTAATATAATTAAATAAATATTTTTTTACTAAAATATTTTAAAATATAATATTTTTAAAGTAGACTTTTACTGGTATATTATATAGTATTTTATTTTTTTAAAATTTTAATAGGGTATTATAGTAATTCTAGTAGTATTAACTAATAAACTAGATTATATATATAAACTAACTACTATAAAACTTATAAACTTTTAACTATAAAAACCTAAAAATAATTAAATAATAAATAAAATAAATAATTAAAAAAAATTTTTTTTAATATAATTATAAATTTTTAGAATTATTTAAATATAGTAGATAATACAGCCTAACTTTTTTTATTAGCTATTAAATTTTATAATTATTTTATAAATTTTTAAAAAGTATAGTAGTAACTAGTAAACTTTAGCCCAGCTTTTATTTATTATTTTTAAAATAAAATATCTAGTATTAATTATAGTATAAATTAAAACTTCTGTATTTTTAAGTTTTAAAATAATAAAAATAAGTATTAAATTAGTTTTTTAAAGTTTTTTTTTAATAGAAATTTTTTAAATATAGCTTTTAAAATAATATATAATTATATAAAAAAGTTGGCCTATTAGCAGCTTAAAACAGATTTACTTTTTTTTTTAGCTATTTATTAAAGTTAAATAAGTAAAAATATTTAAACTGTAGTAAAAAATAAAATTAAAAAGCTTATAAAAACTGTAAATAAATTTAATTACTAAAAATAAAATTTATAAAATAATAAAAAAATAAATAATATTTTAAAAATAAATATATATAGAAGTTTAAAAATAATAGATATAGTAAATAAATATAAAAATTTAAAAATAAAAAATATATAAATACTGTTTATAATATTTTAGTATTAGATTTAAAATAATTTTTAATAAAGTAGTAGTCTAATTTATAGTAGAAGTATTTTTAGTAGTTATAATAGTTAATTTTTTAATAAAAAAACTAGTAGTATACAATAAACAGGTTTATAAAATTATATTTAAAAGTAATAAATCTTTTTATATAGTTATTATTTTAAAATTTATACTAGTTTTTAAAGTTATAGAATATAAAGTTAAATAAAGATTTTTAAAAATAGTTATAAGCTTTAGTATTATACTAAAAACAGCAGTTATTTAAAATCTAAAAAAATAAACCAGATTATAATAATCTTTTTTAAAGGAAATATTAGTTAAAAGTATACTTTTAAGATCTTAACTAATATAGTTTTTAAATATAAAAAAATATATTAAAATATATATATACTTTTTAAACTAAATATTTAAATTTAGTAAAAAATACTGTAAAGTTATAGGGCCTTTATTTTAGTTAATACAGTTTATTATATATAGTTTAGATATAGTTACAATTACTAAAAAAATATTTAAGTAAATATAAATTATTAATAAAATTATTTAAATTATATTTTTTATTTTTAATATAAAATTATATTTAAATATATAATATTTTATTTAAGCAGCTGATTATATATAATTTTTAAATAGTAGCAGTAGTATATCAGTTAGTATTTATATTTATTTTTTTTAATTTAAAAAATAAATTAGTAAAGGTTAGAGCAGTTGCCTTTAAACTTATTAAAATTAAATAAATATTTTAAAAAAAATAAAAGTAAAAAATTTAAAATTAATTAATATAATTACTTTTATTAAAGCAGCTGTAGTATTTTTAGTAACAGATACAGATTCTAAAGTCTATACTAGGATATTTACTATAAAAGTAGTAATTTAAATAATTTTAATATATTTAATTTAGACTTAGTTTTTTTTTAATTATAATTTTTTATTTTATAGTAGCTTTAATAAGCTGTTGGTTTAACTCTAAGGCCTATTTAATTTAATATATAAAAATATTTTTTTAAATATATATTATTTACTAAAGGCTGGTACAGTTGTAATCTACTTTAATAGTAGAAATATAAATGTAATTATAGTAGTACTACTATTTATCTAGGTATTTACTAATATACTAAGTAAACTTTTTTAAATTATTTAGTATTATTAAAAATTATAGAATTGCTGATATTTTATTAGAGCTGTTATTTCTAAAGATTAAAGCTATATAGTATTAAAAAATAGGCTAATATCTAGTTTTTAATCTAGCTAAATAGTAGAAATAACAGCTTTTAACTAAATAATTTTTTATAACTGGTTTTCTAAATTCTTTACTAGCTACTGGATTAGGCTATTTTTAGATTTATAAATAAAATATAGCTTAAAAAGTTATAAATAGAGTTAAAAGCAGACAGGCAGTTAAAAAATTATAAGTTATATATAAAGCAGTTATAAAAACAGATAAATTATTAAAATAAAATAGGTTAAATAGATTAGACGGGTTAAACAGGTAGAACAGGCGGAACGGGTGCATCAGGTCTGCACCGTGACAGGTGGTTGATGGGGTGGCCGACTTGCTTACATGGCCGACTCGGTTGCCGATTATGTTAACTTATAGTCATATATTGCTTAAAATACACTGTAATAATAAAGCGATATTCCGCTAGAACAATAAATAGTGGCTCCACGAATGGAATCGCTATATTGAGGTCTTACAGTAGATCAAGGGACCAGACCAATCGATCAAAACCTGACGCCAATCGTAGGAAAACTCACCTTGCTGTATGGGGCACGTTTCTCCGACCAGTCCGGCCGGCGATTAGAATGGCTGCCCCCGCAAAAAAAAAAAAAACCCCCCCGACAAGACCCAAAGCAGAAAGTAAACCACATCAGGTTTCTTGAGTACATCCGACATTTCCTCTGGTCAGATATCCTTTTGTACGAAACTTTGAAGTATGGCTAAACGCGAGTATGAAGAGGAGCGAACGGAGCACAGGCTGAAGAAGAAGTCTAGAAAAGAAAAGAATGCTGTGAAGGTTGCAGAAAAATCTGAGGATGTCGCAGGGCACGAACAGAAATACGTCGAGTCGCGCGCATTGAGTGATTTGCCAGAATCAGACATAGAGCGCTTCCTTACTGAGAACACAATCAAAGTGACCGACACCTTGAAAGATGCTGCAAACCTTCGGCCTATCATGTCCTTCTCCCATCTTCCTCCATGCGACGGCAAACTCTACGATCCCCTTGGTTCTTTCACCTCTCCGACTGCCATTCAATCGACAACTTGGCCCCTGCTATTCGCTGGTCGCGATGTGATTGGTATCGCTGAGACTGGTAGTGGTAAGACCCTCGCTTTCGGATTGCCGTGCCTCAAGAAGTTGCAAGATTCGAAAAGGAAATCCAACAAAAGGCCTGCTCAACCCATGGCAGTCATGATTTCACCAACTAGGGAGTTGGCCAAACAGATTCATGACCAGCTTGTGAAGTTTGCGAAACCACTGGGCGTGGAAGTAACTTGCATCTTTGGCGGAGTCCCAAAGGATGAACAACGCGAAGCTCTGAAGACTGCACCTATTGTTGTCGCAACCCCTGGTAGATTGAAGGATCTCCAAAATGACGGCTCGGTCGATCTCTCAAAGGTCAAGTACCTTGTTCTGGATGAAGCCGATCGTATGTTGGACAAGGGGTTTGAACAAGATATCAAGGACATCATTCTTCCCATGTCAACGTCAAAACGGCAAACTGTCATGTTCACAGCAACATGGCCTCCAGTTGTTAGAAATCTTGCTACCACCTTCATGAAAACGCCTGTTACTGTTACCATCGGCGGAGATCCATCTGCTGACCCTCGTGCGAATACGAGAATCAAACAGGAGGTTGAGGTCATACAACCACATGAGAAAGAGCCAAGGCTCGTACAGCTACTTAATCAAAGCCAAAGGGCTCCCAAACCCCCGAAAGTCCTGGTCTTCTGTCTGTATAAGAAGGAAGCTGTTCGCGTTGAGAGGCTTCTACGGAATAAGGGTTTCAAGGTTGCAGGTATACATGGCGACCTCAGCCAGCAAGAGCGATTTAAAAGCCTAGACGCTTTTAAGAGTGGTACTGCTACCGTCCTTGTCGCCACCGATGTCGCAGCTCGTGGACTCGATATCCCTGCTGTCAAACTTGTCATCAACGTCACATTTCCGCTTACGGTCGAAGACTATGTACATCGAATCGGACGGTGAGTGATCCTGCCACTGATAAAGACGGCCGTCAGAAACTTAGCTGACATTCTCGGAAGAACCGGTCGTGCGGGGGCTGAGGGCCATGCAATTACCCTGTTCACTGAGTTGGATAAGGCTCAATCTGGAGGGTAAGTAGTCTTTCAGTGAATGCGAACGCAGGCATCTCCTATGTCATAATCTTTTTTTTGGCGGGGCTAATGGCTTGCAGGTTGATCAACGTGCTCAAAGCAGCCAAGCAGGATGTGCCAGAATCCCTTCTCAAGTTCGGCTCGACGGTCAAGAAGAAGCAACATGACGCCTATGGTGCGTTTTTCAAGGACGTTGACTCGAGCAAAGCAGCAACCAAGATTGTCTTTGATGATTGAAGATGAGTCATTTAACTTCGCTTGTACTTGCCTCTAGATCTCAAAATCTCTTTGGCTTTGATGCATTGTGCTAGGAAGTATTTTCTCTCAACAAACAACCTAACCGTGTGCATGGTGATTAGTGGTCAGGGTTCACAAAAGTTCCGATCTTGTTCATAGAGACTTACACAATTGTAATGTATATAGCAGTATACATCAAGGTACCTGAAATATCTCCAGAGTTGAGTCCGTAGGCTCCTTTTCTCACCAAAGTTATCGATATCATGATGCCAGCTAGTAAAGTCTGGGGCCGGGGAAGCAACTCGGAAGGTCTTAATGCCAAGGTGCAACGTTGTAGGAATGACCGAATGAATGAAAAGCTCCAGATAGTACGAACCGCCATATTGACGATGTTGGCATAGACCATCCCTTGAGCACCCAGATCACCCACAACTAAGAATACGTACGCTGCTGAAACATAACAAGCTGAGAATACACCCATCCAGAGTGCCTGTTTGCGAACTTCCGAAGGACTAGCGGCCGAAGAAACGAATGCCTCACTTATACCATTGAAAGCCAAGAATGGTATATAAAGGCAGTAAAGAGATAGTAAGCTACTCACCGTAGGCGATGCCCAGCTGCGCCCACCTAGAAAGTCGAGCACTAGAGGTACCAAAGCTGGACCGAGTGGAAAGGCCACTACAGCTATCATACTGTAGGCGCGCAGGATGTCGGCTAGATGTGTTTTAGCGAGACTGATATTCTCTGTTCGTCGCTTTTCAAGGCAGTTGCCATGAAGCAATGACGAGAAGATGGCCCGGCCACTTTCTTCAATGGGTTGAAAAAGTACGCGGGCCACGAGGCCACCATAGTTTGAGGCAAGGGAATAGATGCCCTGATCTTCTAGGCTTGTCATTGTCGCTAGAATCATGGAATCCCCTTGTGTGAGTAGATGTTTGACGATGGACTGAAGAAACACACTTGCAGCCAATGAAATCATTGACCAGGGGAATCTGTTAGCCACGCAGCTGTGGCGATCACTGGGGGTCCTATCAGGTGGTCTCCTAATGCAAAAATCTAGGCAGGCACACTTACCGCGACTGCAGTGTTGTAGGCAGCAAAGAGAAGGCTTGATGACCTGGCACCTTTCTGATAGCTATAACATAACCACATAGAAGCACACATGCGTAGCTCAAGTGTCCGAGCGCAAAGGGCAGAACACCAACAGTCACATTATAGAAGGCAGCCCACAGGAAAATAAAACAAGTTACCAAGCTTTTTATGAATGCAGCGCTCATCTCAACCAGTGCACGTTGCTTGTACAGCATATACCTCTGCATCACATTAAAGCATGGCTCACCTGCAAGTTCTATTAGGGAGGCGATGGTAATTATGTTCACACTTTGATGGTAAGACGGTGTTTGAGAAACTTCTTCCGAGGCAAGATGAATGTAAGAGGTACCGAGTAGCACGGCAAAGAGAAGTCCCATTCCCAGACTCAAGTAGGACATATTGACCACGGACTGTGATTCCAGTCCCCGAGTTCTTGGTTGTTTAGTTGCGCTCGATTTGCTGTCGATTGCGTCTTTACCATGACTAATTGAAACAGAGGAAACAGAGCCAACAAGCGGCTGTCTTTGAATCGCCAGTCTGATACTTTCTCGAGAAAAAAACAGCAGGGTAATGGAGTATAGGTCCAGCTGGGCTGCAACCCCAAGAAAAGCTGGTGGTAGGTCCCTCAAGATCAATTGATTTGCCGTAAATGTGAATATCTTTGAAGTTATTTGAACGAGAACCAGGAGCGTTGTACCAGAAGCTGGTGATACTAGCAAAGAGCTAGCTTCGTCATCCGGCGATGGCATACTGATAGAAAACAGATGACGACTAATAGGCTGGATTGTGAGGTGAGTTTGACAGAAGAAGAATAAGCGTCCACGAGATTGAGGATGGATGGTTTCATTACGTACTGTACCAGATACACACTAGTAATCTACTCCAGTTGCGCTAGTCCACCCGTCTTTCTCCCACCGCCCCTTATTGGTCAACCATGTACATGACTTCAGAGGTACATAGTAGTATGTACAGTATGTAGGGACATACTGGCAATACTACTGCACATACTTGTCGCTGCGACACCCCACCCGTTGTCACGGGTTGGTCGCCTCCACACCAACAACTCCATCTCAAGAATAACAAAAAACGTATATAAATCCTACTTTTTTTGATCAAGTATAATCAAACTTATTAAAAAGATCTGGGCTTTAGACTGTAGTATTGGTCTTTTAACATAGAGATTTATATATATATCTTTTTTCTGATTAATAATACGTTATAAAAAGATAAGCTTAAAAGCTGCCTAAATATTAGATATTAATAGCTTTTTTCTTATTAAAGAAGATCGACTTAAGAAATATGTATTTTTTTCTAGAATAACTTAGAATAAAAAGCTATTTCTATCTTCTATTAAAACATTACAACCTAATCTTTTTAGTTAACCAAATTATGTTTAGTATAAAAAGTAGGATTTGTATGCGTTTTTTGTTATTCTTAAGGTGGAGTTATTTGTGAGGTGGAGGCGACCCCCCCAGCAGCAGGGGGGGGTCGACGTAGCGACGAGTACATGGTGGAAATGGTCAAAACATTTGTTACCGGAATACTAAGAAGCGTGGCCTGCCGTCACTCCGGGGCCTTTAGCTGGCTGGCAAATGCGTGCATGAATAAATCAATCAAACCACCACTGCATATACTGTGTAGAAACTTGCGAGACCCTCCTTGATTAGAACTACTATGTAAAAAGTGCATTTGTCTGAAGAATTCCACCCTCCTCCCTCTCAGAGTCCAGTTGATCACGCGGAGTTGTACAAAGAAAGAGAGGTTATGTACTGGTAGTCGCTTGGATTTAGAATCCCAATTATTCGATTCCATGACGAGAACGGACACATGAGATGCATTACGTTTATGCCAGCTGCAGTACCCCGACTTGCATCTATACCAATGCACACTCTCCAATACATGAGTAGTCTGACCAGGTACACCACGGATGTTGTATACACAAACTCCCTTCCGTGGAATCCCTTCATCTGGCTTCTTGCCCCCC